TAGGCAAGTGCAAAGATAATGCCATTGGGAAAAGCAATTTAAGTCATTCGGGCACTTCCAGGCCAGGAAATCCTTCCAGTCTTAGAGGAGGAACATTTAGGAGTCATCAGACCCAGCCTGATGAAGTCATCTATTCATTGTGCAGCTAAGGATCAACAAAAGAGCCGAACACACAAGGGGACAGGACATATGGAATAAATTTTGGTGGCTGGGATGTATTTCTGTGACTTCATTTCAATCACCTTTATAACAAATCTTACCTCTTTTTTTCCTTCTGCCTGTAGTCTTTCCTTCCTCCCCATGTTTTTATCTCTCTAAACAGAGTTTTGATGTAGGAATGAACATTTTAAGTAAATATTCTCCTTCCCAATTTTTAGTTTTTATCTTCAAGTAGACTGATCTCTATACATATATGAGTTTCCAAGAGGCACTTTAGATGTTACAAAACTATTCTTTTTTTTTATAAACACCAAGGAGGCTGTTTCTATGCAACAGAACTTTTATGTACAAATTTGTACACCTCTTCAGATCCTTTATGTTTACTTCACAAGTCTAGAATTGGAAGATGGGGGAATGTTATACTATTTTGTTAAGTGAGTGGGAAAATACATTGTTATGGTTTAGGTATTAGATGTCCCCCAAAGGTTTATATGTGAAACAATGCTAGAAAGTTTAGAGAGGAAATTGGGTTATGAGAGTCTTAACCTAATTAGTGTGTTAATCACCTGATCAGGATTAACTGGGTGGTAAGTGTAGGCAGGTAGTTGTGGCTAGAGGAGGTAGGTCTTTGGAACATGCCTTTGGGCTATATATGATTTATATTTTGTCCTTGGTGAGAGGAGTCACTCTTTGCTTCCTGTCTCCTGTACTGAGCTGTTTTCCTCTGCCACACCCTTGTGCCATGATGTTCCACCTCATCTTGGGCACAGAGCAATGGAGTTTGCCATCTAAGGAACTCAGAAACCATGAGTGCCAAATAAACTTTTCCTCCTCTAAAATGCTCTTGTCAGGTCTTTGGGTCACAGCAGCAAAAAAAATTGACTAAAACATGCCTTGAAGGAAACTATACTTGCAACTGTTTCTGTAAACCTACATGCCATTTGGGAATCCCAAAGTAAAGGTTTTCAATGACTGCTGAATTGATAAATCCAATAGATTCCATCTTCTGATGTATCTTCTTCTCTGATTGTCACTGTTTTGTCTCCCTTTTAGGTTCAGCCTCCTCTTCCCAACCATTAAACATGAAATTATTTGATCTCTAAAGTCTCATATGCCCCCTCCCTTTTTTTAGACAATCTTCCATGTTTCCAGACATAGCTTTCTTCATACTCAATTACATCCCACATCTTGCTTCTTTCTCAACCACTCTGTTCTACAAACCATGGTACCATTGTACTTATTTCTTATACCATCATACTCTTTTCAGGGTTTTGCTCTGATGAACACTTGCTAGCTCATATCATTTTTTGAATGTCTCAGATTTGTTCCAACCTCCCTAGTGTGAGCTTTTATAACATCCCATAACATTTCTTTACAGTACTTATTAGAATTATAGTTTTATATCTATTTGTGTGATTTTTTGATTCATGTCTACATTCCCCACTAGACTATAAGCTTTTTTCTGTTTCTATATCTTCTCTTTCTATTGCTGTCATCTAACTTTGCACCTCCCACCTTTCTTCTTCATAGGTTGCCATAGCTCTTGCCAACCAATGGCTTACTCTGTTTTGCAGATTCTGCTAATAAGCTTTTCTCTCTGTCTTTTAATTTCCACTCTTACTGCCAACTGTCAGTTCTCACTAAATTTTTTGCATCCACACTCTACTAGCTAGAGACCTGGTTGGTCTACTTCATATTTATCATGTCTTTATCAAGGTTCCTTTGACAGATTACTTCATGGCTCCTTGTCTAATGCCCAGTGGACTTCACTTAGGTCAAGGTCATCCTCCTTCCTTTGTTTGTGGCCAGGATGGTGGGATTGAAAGGCCAAATGCCCTGAGAAAATACAAGACACCAGGGCTGGGGTTTGGGCTCAGCAGTAGAGTGATCACCTAGGACATGCAAGGCCCTGGGTTCGATCCTTAGCACCACATAAAAATAAAAAAATAAAATAAAGGTATTGTGCCCAACTACAACTTAAATAATAAAAATATTTTAAAAATTGAGACATTTTTTAAAAAAAGAAAATACAATACACCAGATACTTTCTTCATTACAGTCTGCTTGGTAGGAACTAGCATAGTTGGGAAAGGATCTCCCTTAAACTGAGGTTGTAGGAAGGATAAAACAGAAAATAAGCATGGAAAAGAATAGAACAGAATGATATCTTTCCTGACCATGAAAGACTTTCAAACCATGATTTTTTTTCCATATTCCACGGTAGAAAAATTCATACAAATGAATTTGACAGCTCTTATTATCCATTGTAACGTTGGTGTGCTTCCAAGTTGTGCTTATTCACCTTGGAACTTGATGAAATTGGACCATGAATAAAAAAGATAGAAAAGAAAAGGAGCACAGAAAATTGTAGCATTCAACATCCTGCTCCTTGGTTGATGTTCTGTTCAACAAAATCTCCATTCCTCTGCATATGTTGTTAGCACATTAAGATGCACAGGTTAAGTCCATTTGGGTCTGATGAGCAAAGAAAAAGTCTTAAAGGAGGATCTGAAGTATTTGGGGAATGACAGAACCTACTGAACACATGTCAGAGTATTGGATAAAGTACTCTTTAGTGGCTACCCTACTGTTTCATCTTTACGTCTTGTGTGCAGAGCTTCAGGCCCCCACCCAAACTGAAAGGGGTTCACCAGTTCTCCCCTTTAGCAGCCCTGGCTTCTAATCCTTGATGTCTTACCCAACCCCTTAAAACTTAAGGTTGTCAAAAAATTTCTCAAGATTCAACCCTTCAATAGTCTCTATTACAAAAATGAAGAAATGAATAAAAATGTAATTGTGACCTAAACAGCTGGCAGAGATGAGATTTTTATTAAACTTAAGAAGATATGACCACCATCCATTTCCTGGGCAGAGCACTATAGTGTTGAGATTAATAGCACAGATTCTAGAATTTGATTGCCTGGGGTTAAAATCTGGATTAAATTCTGGCTTGACTATCTACCAACTATGTGAACTCAGGTAAATTACTTGGCTACCCCTCATGTGTAATATGGTTGGTGCAAAGATTAAATAAGTTACCCAACATCAAGTGATTACAACAGTGGTGACATTAGATGTGTGTGGGCTATAATTGTTGTTTATATTATTATTGTCCTTTAAGCCACCTGATCCAATTAATGGCTACCTGTATCACTTAGGACACATTTGCTTGAAAGTAACAGAAAGAAGATTTATTGGCTCACACAACAAGGAAATCCAAATGATGGCCTAACTTCAGCGTGGCTGAACCCAAGTATTCAAATGATGCCACCCAAGAACTCTGCCTTGTGCCTTGGCTTTCATCCAAGCCAACACTATTCTCAAGCAAGCTTCCTTTGCATGGTAACAAAGATGTAGCTTGAGGACTACTCTGTCCTTTCACTTCTTCCTCAATGGATCCTAAGAGAGAGCCTAAAATCCCAGGTTCTGTTCCATCATTGAGCCCATAATCAGAGGGATGGAGTATTTCAATCAACCAATCCTGGACCTGGATCTACATTTGTAGCAAAAAGGACAGGTAGGGCTAACTCTATACAAATATCATGATCCCCTGGAGGAAAGATGCTCAGCAGAAGATACCCACTGCTCAACCCTTTGTGAAAGCACAATCTCGGACCATTTTTTCTAAGGAGGGACTAGATGATAACAATTGACATGTTTATTGACACTTTTAGCCTTTTTCCTTGGAAAGAGTTCCAAATATCCATGACTGAATGTTCAAACTATTGCAGAGCTTATAGAGTGTGACCTCTGGTTCAGTCTAAATGAACGTCAGAACAATCAGAATGGAGGAAAGCTACCAGCAACCAGCACAACTGTAGAAGGACATTCCCACTGAACAGCAACACTGCATCGAGTGCAAACACTGGGTTGAATCTAAGGGACTCAAATGTTCAACCCTCTTCATTTTCATTGAGCACACACTCTAATTCTTTCTGCTTTATTCACCTACCACTTGGAGGCAGGACTGGAGTAGGCAGTTGTTTTCAGAACTTCTCCTACTCTTTAATTCCCTTTATCGTCTTACATGTTTGAACCCTGATTTGGGACACATACTTGGGACAGAGAATAAGCTTTTGAACGAAAGCTTGAAAGACCTTGATATGGAGGGATGGAGGAAACATACTCTTCTTGTTGTCTTTCCCTGCTACCCACCCCCCACCCCGCCTAAGGAAAAGAGAGGTCCCCACCTTTTTTCTCTTTTTTTTTCTTTTTTGTTTTTTCCTACTGCCACCAAGTACTTCATAAAACAACCATGATATCAGCTGGAGTAATCTTTGTCCAGGGATACACTACTTCTTCAAAACCAGGTTGAGGCAACCTTTGATTAGAGACTTACATCAGGGGTAATTTAATAGGCCAGCTCAATTTGGCTAAAATGTATTTATCAACAATGAGTGTGTGTGTGTGTGTGTGCGCGTGTGTGTGTGTACTTCTTATCACACTTGATTCTCCTAAGTTAATGTATTCAAAGCACTTAGCACAGAGTTCACACCAAATAAATATTCCCCCTCTTCCCCACTGGCCCTGAAGTCTAGCCTTAGTAACTTACTTAATCTTTGCACCAACCATATTTCACCATGATGAAATAACAGATAAAACACAAAGATGAGTTGTTTAGCTTTACTTGCTTACAACACCTAGCAGCACCTCTTCTTCATCCTGTCTTCCAGACACACAAAAGTGTCCACACCTGCTCACCAGGAGATATTTCCCCACCCTTCCCTTCCAGCTAATATGCATGCCTACAGAAAGACTTAGAAATGCTTGCCAAATTGAGTTGACCTTTGCTTCCCTCTTCTCAATGGAAGTTGATAGATTTCACACCTGTCTCCTTTTAGGATTGCAGAGAATACAGCAACTTGCAAAAAACACAAAATACTTCCGAGAGAAACTGAAGGAACTGGGATTCATTATCTATGGCAATGATAAGTCTCCTGTTGTTCCTGTGCTCCTTTACATGCCTAGTAAAGTAGCGTAAGTATCTAAGGACTCCTGGAGTCACACCTGAACCCCAAGCTGACCTAAGATGGTGCTATTGACACTCTGCAGTTTTCCTGCAGTTATTAGATTATGCATTTGAAAGGGGTACTTAAATTCAGAACTCACTTATACAACTTTTCAGAATCCACATGCCAGACATAGCAGAGGTTTTTCCATATGTCTTATAATAAAAGAGTCAGATGCTTAAGGACCAACTCTCTCCCTGCTACCATCTTCAAGCTCTAGAAATTTGGGGCAAGTCACTTATCTGCACTATAAATTAAGAATGGTCCTGAGCCTCCTTCTAATCCATGGTCTTTCTTGGGGAGAACTTGCAAAGCCCAGTTCTCTCAATATCAATATCAAAACAAATCAGACCTTGTCCCATGGAACTCTCATGACCATCCTCAGAAGTGGGCATCCTCATTCAGGTGTGAGAAAGCCAAGGCTGAGGGCAGTTCAACAACTTGCCCAAGGTCATATAAATCAAATGGTAGTAAAACTAAGAGCAAAATCCAAAACCTAGATTCACAACAAAGCTCATTCTCCTAACATCAAATCTTAATGCCTCTGCTGTAAGCCTATTGGGGTTGTTTTCTGCTGTTTACAACTCTGAAATTGAGCATTGGCAACAACTACATAGAGGAAAAAATTATTTTTTCTCATATGGCTCAGACAATTTTATACAGGAGCCATGCTTCAACCTGTGTGAGACTAATTACCTCTCTGTTAAAAAGAAGTTAACCTAAAATGTTCCTAAATATTTATTGGTGTCTTTGACCAAGCATAGGGTGGAAAGTAATATTCAACATAATATTTCTTAGATTCTAAAGAGCCCAAATTCCCTTCCAACTTAAGGCCATTGCTGGAAATTTCTGTTTGACCCTCTAACAGTCTGGACAGACTGACAGATATTTTCAATAGAAAAGTACCAGTGAAAGGGGTGTGGGGCACCAGTGTTGAAAACTAGGGAGAGTAGTGTTGAGTTCAAAGTTCCCAGAAGACTGATTCTTAGAAGCATGCTCTGGTGTCATTTCACCATGATGAAATAACAGTTAAAACACAAAGATCAGTTGTTTAGCATGCCACACCAGAACCACTAGTTGGTCCTTCTCTTCATGAATCTGGTTCAGGAAAACAATGCATGGAGCATCCAAGAAGACAGAGTGCTATAGAAATGTTATACACCAAGGCATTCTACGGCAGTGGGGTGGAGGATGACAACAGTAATTCCCAGTAGTAGATGATTTGGAAAGGCACACACACACACTCACACACACATACACACACACCAAAAAAAAAAAAAACACTCAAAGTGGCTGGGGAATTGCATGTTCTAGAAGGAAAATTCCAAATTTAGCTCTTAGGTAACTAATATTTGATCATTAGCTCAAAAGAAGGCACCCAAAATAAACTTGCTTGGGGATACAGTGCACAATATTGGAGCGGTGGCAATAAAGGAGTGTGCTAGGTAGTTCTCACTTTCATGAAAGCCAGAATTAGGATCTCAACATGTTGGACAAATGAACCAACCTAAAGAGAAGAGTCTGTGAATAGGAAAAAAGGGGGGTGGTGGAAAAAAAAGCATTTATACTAATTAAAATCTATGTATAACTGTTATATATATTAAAAATGTACATATATACATATTAATGGGGTATTACATGATGTTTCAGTATATTAATATACACTATATAATGTTTAAATCAGGTTAAAAACATCTATCTCAGTCGGGCACAGTGGCACATGCCTATAATCCCAGTGTCTAGAGAAGCTGTGTCAGGAGGATGGTGAGTTCAAAGCCAGTCTCAGCAATGGCAAGGTACTAAGCAACTCAGTGAGACCCTGTCTCTAAATAAATACAAAACAGGACTGGGATATGGCTCGGTGGTTGAGTGCCCCTGAGTTCAATACCTAATACAAAAAAAAAAAAACATCATTTCTTTCTGGTGAAAACATTCAAAATTCTTTCTTCTAGCTATTTGAGATATAGAGTGCATAATTGTCTATAGTCACCCTATTGCACAATAGCCAGCTAGCTCTTCAAATGCATTCCAGTTCAAGTAGTCACTAATACAATATGCCTCATGTAAAACATATGCTGTATGGCATAGTGAGTGGTTTTGAATCAAAAAAGAATTTTGACTGCCTCTTAGGAATCTGTGGAATCTTGGAAAAGTAGTCCAACCTTCTGAAATCCTAGTTTTCTTATGTATAAATTGAGATAAAAATACCTACTTCCTAAGATCATTATGAAGATTAAACAAGGTAAGTTCTTTACAGCATTTGGCATGTTGACTCTTACATAACCGTGTTAGCTGTTATTAATAATATCAATAATGTATATGATGCACTTAACATAGTTCTTGTTTTACTATAAGCATTCAGCCAGTGATAGCCATCATTACTGCTGTGATTATTGTTCTTTTATCATAATGATGATTATTAGTTTCAATTGAGTACAATGATGAGTCATTGTGGTCACATGACTCTCCAGAATGCTTATTGCAATTTTGTTTACATTAATAAAAACAGAACTCCCAGAAAAATTAGCAGGTAAAGATCTTGCATCGATGATGCTATATTGGGCACTGGATGATATGTTGAAGTGTTGTGTTCATTCCAGTTGAAGATTGTTTTCCAGGAGAAGCTAAAATTGCTTAATTCTGATTATATGCCAAACAAGGGTATTTGACCTCAGTGATCATTCACGAGTTTAACCATTGAGGGTGGGATATTGACACAACAGTCAGTTGAAACTGTTTAGAAACCGCTTTCTAAGGCTCACACAGGTTGTAGGCAGCAAAGCTCAGAATTCAATTTGCCTCCTAAACATGAGCACTTTTGAATACACAGCCGTTCAAGCTTCAATCCATAGGAGAAAATTCACATCTCATTAAAGAAACAGAGTATGAATTTAACCCTCTTGAATGCCATCATCTGTCATTCAAAAGGAATCAGTCACTGTGACAGAAAAATATCTGTTTGGATTTCCTACAGAAACTGAGAAAAAGTAAGAAAGAAAATATAATCGCTAGTAGGAGTTGCTGGCAAGAGCTTATTTTACTGGCTGTCTTTGTTCCCTTCTATGATACTTCTTCCATTGAAGGTTTATATGCAGAGAAACAGGGAGTTGATTGTATCAGACAGTGTAGAAAACACTTTTTTCACTTACACATTTAAAAACCTTCCATGTTATTAAAACATTGTGGTTTCTCCATATTTCCACTTCTGTCAAATGAAAGGATAATCTCTAGCTAGTTATCCTTTTGAACAAAGTCCTGTTACAACTCTACTACTGGAATCATCTATGGCATCTAGAATAATGTGATGTCACCCATGAAATGAGCACTTCAATAATCAAGAATGTTTCATATTTGGTATGTAGTATAGGGAGGATTTGTATTTTCCTTCCGCAGTTCTTGTCTTGAACTTGGAACACAAGATGTGGTACACAAGACGTGGTCATGCTGCATGTAGTGAGATGCTAATGTTCATCATATCGTCATCATCATCATTATTATTTCACCCAGTTTAGCTTTTTCCTGCATATGCCAGTTCTAATTTGCTTTGGGGAATAAAACCCAGAAGCTCATTATATAAAATGTTCAGTGCAATCATATATATTAATATAAGGATATTAGCTGCGGTAGTATAAGTTTTCAAGTCAAAAGTGCTCCAGGGAGACCCTGAATTAGCCTAATGAATCAATAGAGTCATATATTTTGCTCTACATTTTTGGCAAAACTTGCTTCCTTCAGTACAAAGGGAAACATGCAGACAGTGAAAATGGTCTTCTGGGGCCCGAAAATTGGCCTGAGATCATGGGTCAGGTGGTTTGTACTCTAGCAATAAAAGCACTTGACTTGTTTCTCAGACAATTATGAGCTCTCATCCTGTGCAGTTCCGTGGGCAGCCTTCCATAGGGTGATCAAGAAGGAGACAGAACAGTAGAAATCAAAGGGCTAATCTTGCCTTGCCCAAGCCAGGGGGCCAAAGAGGCTGTGTGTCCTGTAGGTCTCACAATCTCCACTGCTTCATTTGATAACCTGCTTTCTGCATGAGGCAACCAAAAGGCAGACTTCTAAACAGCAGGACAGATGAATGGGCAAGCAGCCTTACTCTCCATGTCTGGTTCTAAATTCTTCCTGAGTTATGACTGTAGGTTTTTGTGGCTCTGTCAGTATCCAGCCTAAAATAATATACCAGCAAACTCTTAATGCTCAGAACAGATCTGAGGCTTTTACTTTACTTATGGGTAGAGCCACTCAGTAATTAAGGTTTCCTGCAGAGAGCAACAGAGCCCAAAGCAGGGAAAGACTCACTTGGGGGTATGTGCCTTTTTATCTGACCTTGGCTCTCAGCACAAGCAATTTACAGACTTTGAGTTTAATATTCTAGAATTATTACTGAGATTAGCTTTAGGAAAAAAGAAGGCTAGAAGGATGAAGGGAAGGAATCAGAGCTTATAAAGGTTTACCCTGCATCAAAGAGCTTTATCTGCCCATGAATTTCTCTGTGTGCTCACTTCTTACCCTGCATCCCTCCTGCCTGATTCCCGTTGATCCCAGTCAATGGGTTTATTATCCCAGAGCATACCTGCATATGTTCATTCATGCGCTTAAAAAAATGAGACCCTTGCTATTTCTTATTTCTGATTTTATGTAAAATATGATCTTTGGTTCTGGAATGGGAATGTTGGGTTGGAGATTGGATTCTACAAACCCTGAGATCCTGATCTTCAAATTATAATAAACAAATATAACTTACTGGTATTAAGTGTTTTAAAACATATAGATTTGCCTTTAATATATATTCTTTCTAATGTAATTGTAATGTATTAGGTGTTTTTAATACAAGGAACCCAGCAGATTAAAGGTTTTATATCAATTCAGTCTTGTTAAACCAGAGTCATATACATCAACATTTTCTGCTCAATCTCACAACAGACTCAGTGCTCACAATTATCAAATGTGTTTGTCAGACCCCATAATAACCCCATAATACTACACACTTAGTTATGGGAGATATCAAATGACCACCTGGCTCTTTTCAGTTGCATTTACCAGAGTTTAATAACTTTAAATCTACTTGTTATTATAAAAAAGAAAAATCAATTTTCCATGTTCCTTTTGGGCAGTGGGGATCAGGATAATTCTGTCTCCTTTATGTTAACTTTTCCTCCTTTTCCTAAGGGCTTTTGCAAGGCATATGTTAGAAAGAAAAATCGGGGTGGTTGTCGTTGGATTTCCAGCTACTCCACTCGCAGAAGCTCGGGCTCGGTTCTGCATTTCGGCAGCACATACTCAGGAGATGTTGGACACAGTAAGTACCCCACAGGCCAGTGGGAAGTCTACTTGTGGCACCTTGGATTCTGAACATGTAGTTTTCTTGAGCCAGATTGGGATTCTCTGAATTTTTCTTGGGTAGTAGAAAAGTACAACACAAGTGACAGATGAAACTCACTGCTAAAAACCTAGGGTATGGCAACAATACCCAACAAAGTGATCAACTCAATTGAAGGAAAAAAAATCAGTTTAGTAAAGGTGAGTCAAGTCAGTATTGTGGTTTCATAGAAAAGACAAGTAAATAGGCAAATGTGCTATAGACTTGTTCTGCAATGTGAAAGCTGACCTTCCATGCTATTTTTTAATGTTTATTTTTTAGGTGTAGTTAGACACAATACTTTTATTTCATTTGTTTATTTTTATGTGGTTTGAGGATCGAACCCAGGGCCTTACCCATGCTAGGTGAGCTCTCTACCGCTGAGCCACAACCCCAGCCCCCTTCCATGCTGTTTTAACATTAACTACCTGTATCCTGATATTTTCATAGCCACTAAATCTTCCATCATAAAACAGGACCCAATTAAGCAATACATTGGAAAACAAACAAGGAAAGACGTATATGACATCAGCCAGATCAAAGTCAGGTGGAAATAATTTCAAAACTGCATTTTTTTTTGTCCTTTGATTTCAGTTTTTATATTAATGAGTAATATCAGAGAACTAAGCCATCTCAATCAGTTTGGGTTAGTGGAATGATCTAATAATATCAATGTAGTTACAATGAACAAACCCTGGAGCAAAAATAGAAGTCTAGGAGTAGATACAAATAAACAACTAATAATAACATCAGACAGAATAAATTGTGAAGACGAAATATGTAAATGACACTGTGGGAGCTTGAAGGTGGGAATGAATTATAATAATGGGGGAAGATTTACAGGTAAAGTGACTTTTCAGCTGAGTCTTTTTAATAAAGATTATGAGGCATGATTCAAGGTTTCTGACCAGTGGTACAGCATTATCATGTCACTATGAAAGAAAAGTGACAAAGGGGTTGAAGAAGAAAGAGGCGAGAGGAAGGGATCTAAAATGGAGGTGTTAGAACAAAACAAGAAATGACAATGACTGTGACAGCAGGAAGACAATGGATCTATGAACTGACATTACAAAAGCAGGAATTGCCAATATCTGTCAAATGACTGGAGCAGAACATGTATGGGAAGAAACAAGAGCAAAGGTAATTCAAGGTCTCTAACCCTGGTGAACAGAATGGTAAATTAGTTAAATGAGCTAAGGTATTCAGTAAGGATCAGCAAGTCTTCAATGGGAGTAAACTCATATATATGCTTGTTGAGATTACATGTCCATGGGCCATCTGTGGAAGAGAAAATCAATTCTAGAACTTAAAGGAGTGTGCAAAGCTGAAACTGCTGTAGTTTCAGGAATTGGGGATTCTTTTTCTTCCACAAGGTAGAAGATATAATTGTCCAGGGAAAAACAAGGGTAAACAGGCTAAAAGCAAATTCTTGTGAAGTACACGATCCCAGGACACAAGGATCACAGTGGGAACTGGAGCTAGAACAGTCAGGAGAGACACGGGCTAGTGTAGTGTTGGACACAGTAAGAAGAAAGAGGTTTGAGGAGGAAGAGGAGAATTAAAATATTCTCCCAAAACTTAAGAAACTTCAAGTGGGGTGAGGGATGAGAAGAACATCTTGAGTTAATAATTCATAGCAACTCAGTGTTTCTTGTAGTGGACAGTTTTAGGGGAATGTAAAGAACAGAAATAGTACAAAGAATAACAGGATGAAGGGGATAGCTTGAGCTTTCTCTCTCTCTCTCTCTCTCTCTCTCTCTCTCTCTCTCTCTCTCACACACACACACACACACACACACACACACATACCAGTGACCATTTCCTTCTTCTTTATCATTTATCCCCTCAGGACCTAAATCAGTGTATAGTACATAATAGATAAACAATAAAAACAGATTAAGTGACACATTAATAACCAAACTAACTCCAGGTTTTGAGGTGATAGGTAAACTCTGTTGTTTGTCTTTATATCCTTCTATATTTTCCAGGTTCTCTCAAACGAGTCTATATTTCCAGTAATTTAATTTTAATATATTGCTTCTTTTAAATGGAGTGAGACAGTGATAAGAAGGAGCAGGCAAGTACTTCAAAAAGTTTGGTTGTAAATTCAAGAAAATTAAGGCAACTTGGGAGGTTGAGGCAGAGGATGGCGAAATGGAGGTCAGCCCAACAACTTAGTGAGAGCTCAGCAACTTAGCAAGGCCTTGCCTCAATATAAAAATAAATAAATAAAAAGGACTAGAGATGTGGCTTAAAGAAGGAAGGGAGGGAAAGAGAAAGGGGGAGGGAGAGAGGTATAGAGGAAATTAGAACTAAGAAAAGCCTTTGAAGATGGGGAAAGACGTGTACATGTTGTGTACATGTTTACACATAGAAGGATGAAGAGAGTGAAGAGGGAATCCTACAGGTACAGAAGACAAGAGGACATGGCCAGGAAGCAAGCTCCCAGAAGTGAAAGGAAGGATTGGACAACAGAGATGAATTTGTGCTTCTTGCAGAACAATCAGCATCGAAGTATCCAAGTTTACCCTTGTGATTTTCTTCAAAAGTTCTTCATTGCTGTGGAATACGTGGTGTGAAAGAAGCAATGAGCCAGCATCTAGACAGACTGCTCTAAACTTCTGGGATCATGCATCCATCTCATAAAAATTTTGAGCAGTTCTTTAATATGAGTTTAAGAAAAAGTGAAATTTGACCTGTTGAATAGCCAGGGCATTTAACGCAGCAACTGAAACATCACAGAATATAGAAAATATGAAACCAAGTGAGGCCAGAGACCACGTTTAGGACAAAACACAGAATGATTTCACTCTCCCTTTCTGACTGAAATCTGCTCCTTTACCGATGACCGCTCTAGCTTCACCTAATCCTTCCACCTGCCTGATAAAGGTTATAAATTAATAACCAGCTGGTGAACTGCTCCTGCTACTTCACAGCATCCAATCCGGAACTGGGTTGGTCTCTTCTGCTTTAAAATCTTCTCAAGCACAAAACCAAATGCAATAAGAAGCCCCTCCAAACTTCAGGTCATTAGTTGCCCTTGGCTCTGGAGCTTTTCTCTCCCATGCTGCAGCAAGCTGGAGAAACCTGTCTTTGAGTAGGGTGCATTTTAGATAGTCTTGGATCAGGGAACTTTAACAAAAGCTATTTAAATAGTTTATGTATGCATTCCCAATATATTATGTACATTATTTAACAGATATAAAAATAGAAATTAAAAATATTAAGATAAAAATGAATGAAACGCCTAATATTCTCGTCCCATGTCCTCCATAATTGCCACATATATCCCACAAGGGCACAGGTACTCCTCTTTGCAAATCTCTGAACTATCCCATGCCCATCTGCAAAGATCAATAGAAACTACCCTAAATTGAAGTCATTTAAAAGACAACTTTTGTTGCTTTTTCTTAGTATACAGATTTGATTTATAAGAAATAGGAAAGAACATTTTAAACCACATAACCTTATCAACAAGAAATAAATTTCTCTTAACATGTTAGTGAACACTTTAGCTGCTATTAATTTGAAAGACTTCTCAAACAGGAAAGTTCATAAGCCTCATTAATCATTCACTTTAATGTTAATAATTCGCACTCTCACTTTTACAGAGTAGATCCTAATATTGTTTTTTCCCCCTTATTTGGCAGGTTAATAAATACAGGCTTAGGGCTATGGATGTGGTTCAGTGGTAGAAGGCTTCCCTAGCATGCATGAGGCACTGGGTTTGATCCCCAGCACCAAAAATAAAATAAAAATAAGTCAGAAAGATTGGAAAGGTGTGCTCAATACCATTATTATAAATATAGAGAGAAATTTATAAATATCTAGCCAGCCAATGAGTTGGATCCTTGTGTATTTAAGTTGCATTATTCCATGGAATGTGGAAATGAAAGAGATGCATTTTTAAAAACAGGGGTTGGGGGGAGAGTTAAAGCATGGGAGGACTGAGGGTGATGCTAATTAGCTCCCACAATGTTCCATTTTGTTCTTGGCCAGGTTAGTTTATTGTGTCATGAAGACACAACCTCAAATGGATTCTGCAACCTTATCTTTTTCTTCCACAAGGTTATATGTAAGTCATTAAATTTTAAATAAATCCTTAAAGGTTTTAGATGGGTCAGCTGTTTTTATTCCTCTCCTCACATTCCCCAAATAAAATAAACATTCATAATGTGGAGTTAGGCCATTAAATAAAATGAATTAGCATCTAGCATTCCTCTAGGACGTACAAACCACAACCTGATGATATGGATCTTGCTCCTTTTCTTTAAAATCAAAGGAGCTGGCAAAATAAGACTGAGTCTTTGTGAAGCTTGTCATTAATCTGGGCTTTGCAAGGCAGAGCCACTTAGGGGTTTAAAGATAACTGACGGAAGGCAATCTCATTGCAGGTTTTGGAAGCCCTTGATGAAATGGGTGATCTCCTGCACCTGAAATATTCCCGGCACAGGAAGTCAGCACGCCCTGTACTCAATGACGAAATGAGCTTTGAACTTGACGATTAAGTTTCCTGGTCCTGGATGGAACATAAAGACTTTGCCAGAAAGACCTCCCTCCTTGCCTCAGAAGGAATATAAATGGATTTCTCCCCCTTCCTAAGGACAATTTTGTTTTTCAGACCAGCTTAATTGAACTGAGGGAGACATCATTGTGTTTTTAATGTCTCAACATGTGACTACAGAAATGAAAATATGGTTCCAGATTTAAGTTTCTCCTCCCCTCCCAAGTATCTGCTAGAAACACACACACACATACACACACACATACACAAACACACACACACGTATACCCACATGCACATTTCTAAGAATATTTTTAATGGCAATGAGTCTCCTTTAGCTGCTACTGTGCAGCCTGATTGGTTCAGAACCTTTCAGGAGTTCCAACCAAATGAGAGGATTTTGATGGTGAATTCCACAATCTCATTGTATGTTTACTGTATTTCATCTACAGACAACAGTAAGGGTTGTGGAGAGAAGCTGGAGTAGCTGACTTCCTCATTCCACCCATAAAAGTTCTTGCTACAACTCATCCACATCATGGGAAGCTCCAGGCAGGAGGGTAAAGAAATGTTGCTTCTACCATTTGCCACATTTGGACTTTTTCCAAGGACAAGTGTCAAAAGACACAGTTAACGTTTTAAGGGAGAGAGCAGAATTGGCCTGCAGCAACTGGAGACGTCTTTAAAGGAAACTTTTCCTTTTCCTCTTGCCCTTCTATGGTTTTACAGCTGAGTTTTTGAGGTTGGGAAAATCAAGACTCTTGTATCATAAAGGAGGGCACAGAAAGCAAGCACAGCCAACTTTAGGCCTAGACTAGAACTGTAAAATTATAACTACTCCAATATTGCTTGTGCCATACAAAGTGAATGTTTAGCATGCATAGCCTTTATTACTTTAAGGAATAACGTGCCATTTTCCTGTTGAATTCTGAGTAAAAGGTAAGATTCAATCTCCTTTAGAACTGACTCCCAAGACTACACTTGAACAATGTATTGATTCAAGAAGGACATTTAACATTGAATTCTCTCATCTCCTTCAAGACTGCCACACTCCTTCAGGCCTATTAAATAATACTGTGAATTTGGCACATATACTCAGATTGGGTGCAAGGTGGGCCTGCACAAGTTCAAGCAACTAACTGTAATTTATTTGTTTACTCTCTCGTTCTCTCTCTCTACCGTCTCTCTTACACACACACATACAATATGAACATATTCTTCTTTGAAAAATTAGTCCTTTGCTAATTGGATCTAGTTGGTATGGAAAAAAACAGTGGAAAACCTTATCTTTAACAAGCTCCCAGATGGTGCCCAGATTTGGAAACTCTAAAGAGCAGTGGTGACCTTTTAGCCAAGCTTCTGTAACAGTTCGAATGAGTTACAGAACATTCCACTCCATCAAATGACACTGTAAACAAATCACTTCAAGAGAGGTCTGGCTTTGTGTGACACAGATGGGCCCAAGCTTTCAAGCTGTGCGCTGAGATAGAAACTCAACCCGCAGCACCAGTGTTGGTGGAGAAATACGCCCCGATGCTCAAAGCTCGTTCAAGGAAAAAGGTGATTGGCATGGAAAGCTTTTTATGAATTATAACCCCCAGTGGGTTCATCAGTTTAAAAGTGAATCATGGTGAGGAAGTTCCTCATGAATGGTTAATGTTAGCGATGGAAGAAAAAAAAAGAAGTTCTGAAAATTCAGTTGCTTCATCCAAGGATTGGTTTTGATAACGAATTCCAACCCTCTCAATGAACTGGTGCAGCATTATTTGTGCAATGAAAGCATATGTCATATAAATGTGCAAAGACAAGAGACATGTAGGCCTTTTTAAAATATGCATTTGAATGACATTGTTCCTAGTGAATTGTCCAAAATGTCTGACTATTCTGAAGTTCTATAAAGGACAAAAGAGGTGAGGAGAGCAGTCAGACATCTAAGCCTTCCCTAAGATATAACAAAGCAATAAACATACCCCTTTTTTCTATATCTGTCTGGGATCTTCACATATGCCTTCACACCTAACCTTTGAGTTTTAAGCCCCTAGATGAACAGGTGTCTTTGTCAGCAGAAATATCTACCCTTAGAACTTTCATGGAGGAACCTGAGTCTAATTCATTACTCACCTGGAATGTGGGGCAGGGAGAATAGTTTCTTTTCATTAAGATCCAAGAGTCCTGGACAATTTAATACATTCCCATATATAAGAGAAAAGACCTATTTCTATCAGAGAGCCTATGCTGAATATGCACTTACAATAACAACTCTAACCCAAGTGGAATGCTTCTTGAGTACACCAGAAGAGACCCTGACTCATAGAGCTAGCAATGTAAGAGGAAAAGGTTGATTGAGAGGGTGATTGTGAATAATGAGAAATTTTTTATTTTCATGAGCTGAGTCCTCTAGTGATAGGTTAATAAGACCATGATTTCAATTCAGTAAGGATTATTGAGCCTTGATAACTGCATCAGAGTTTGGGTCCATTAGGAGAAAGAATTTTCTAACAGATCTATAATGTTTTGCATCCCCAACACTCATATTTGAATGCACACACACACATACACAAGTGTGCCTTTCCTTTGCAGAAGAAATGAGCAAAAAGGTATAAAGAAGAGAATCTTATTGGATGATAGAGAGATGGAAAATGTTGTTCTAGAAGATAAACTTCAGAGAAGCAAAAGCCAAAGGTTTCAGACTGGCATTTAATAAGGATACCTTTGCACAATAAGGAAATGGCATAGACTCACTGCTAATATTAACTTGGAAAGATGGCATTGTGGATATTTGGCCATAGAACCTTTTAGTATGTTTTGATTTGACAGAGACCACAGGTTTCAGAATTTACTAGGAGGCTTGTTAATGTACAGATCCCTGGGCCCCACACCAGACCTCCATGGAATCAAATAGCTGTGGTGCCCAGGAATCTACATTTTAATAAGCCTTCTCAGGTGATTCTAAAACATGCCAGAATTAGGAACCATTATTGGAGGTTTTGGTAGACCAGTTGGCCCTAATAACATAACATGGAACTTCATTCTGATTTTCTGTTGGTATTTAAAGAAGCTTATACAAAAGTGAATTTATTCTATGGCCACCCTTTTCTCCTCAATGGAACATTTTCTTCCCATTCTCTAAGTCACTTTTCTTTTTACAAAAGAAAAGTGAAAAATAATATGCTTTGGGGCCAAATTCCTTCTCCAGTTTTCTTTTGCATCAATATTTACAAGATGTTTTTTTTTCTCTTTGCATCACCTTGTTTCCTTGAATGTGGTATCTTCTTTTTTCCTATTTTTTCTTCCTATCTTAAAAAAAACTCAACCTGATTATTTATTTATTCCAACAATAGCTCCTCAGCAGGGTGAAATTCTTAACAGTTTCTCAAACATGCAGTATGCCTCTGTATTTTTCTTCAAAGACAGCAAATATGTAAATGGATTACTCTGATTTAAAAGCCTAAGTTCTGATGATGAAACCTGCACTCTGTTAAATATAAACTCTGATTTACAGCAGTAATAACAATTGTAATAATGGCAATGAGAACATCATGTGGTGAATGCTTTGCACTTTTTCCTGGTCTCAAAACTGTAAGAAGGACATTTTTGAAGTTTGTTCTCTCAAAGCCTACCCAGCTGTGTAGTCTTTAGGAAATTAAAATGAGATCATATCTTAAATTTTTCTAAGCAATTATTGTGGGATACTGGTGTCATGATGTATACAATACATGGCCGGTATGTGTGTGTGTGTGTGTATGGGTGTGTGTGATGTGTTTCACTGAAACATTTGAGGTGACCAATTTTACTTCATTCTGTCTGTGAAATATTAGTTTCTTGAATAAACAAATCACCAAATTTACAGTATAAAAAAATAATCAATGATTTTGTTGTTGTTGATTTAGTTTAGGTTACCCTGAAAATAAAAAGACTGAGGTGGAGATCTGCATTTAGGAATTTCACTGGAGAAAACTAGTAGGGCTGATGGGGCAGGCTTACACACTCATGAGAACCAACTGAGCACATCTCTTTCCAACTCCTCGTTCAGTGGCAATGCATTGAGAGCACAAAATTAGCCACAGTGGGTGTATTTATACCATGGAAACTGGAAAATGGTATGAATCAAGGATCTGGAGAGATGGCTGTTAAGCATTTGCCAGCATGCCACTGAGATCATATACAATGACACAATACCTAGGACAAGTAAGGGAACAAGATTAGGAAGAGGGGGAGAATTTGAACTGTGATGTAATCATGACAAAGGCCTCAGTCAATTCCATGGGAAACTGTGCAACTGAGATAGTCCTCTAGAGTTATCACAAACATAGGGAAAGGAAATCAGGCCTTTATGTCCTCTTACCATCAACCAGTGACTGGTTAGACGTGTAAGGCATGCATGACTTTGGGTCAGAAAATTCTATTCAGCTAAAGATTCAGCTGTTATCATTTATGGTAACTCCTATCACCAAGCTTCAAACATGATCAATTCATGGCCAGGCTTTTACTCTATCCCGTCTCCTACTTTACTCCCTTTCCCATCAGATTACTTTAAAAGGAACCCCAGAAATCATCTTGCTTCATGAGTAAGTATTTCACTGAGACTCTCTAAAAGGTAGGGAATATCTTAATTTATTCCTCTATTCTCAACCTCATTGAAATATAGCTCTTCAGGAATAGCAAAGGACTCAAAATGAGTCAAATGTTAACCTTTGCTTTCTGTCTCATAATAGCCTGCATAGGAATTCCCTGGGTCAAAACTAGGAATTATTTCTAAAGTAGGTGTGTGGTATCTTGAAAGACAACCATGCAATCATCTTCAGAAACTTACCACATGCCAAACACTGTACTAAGAACTTCAACATAAGCCATCTTCTGGGTGCTCTTGTAGAGATTTGTAATAGATTTCTTGGATGGCAACAGGATCCAATTTGCAAGTGGATTAGCAGAGCAAAAGAGGACTCCACGACTGATGGTACATGGTTCTTTCTTGGAATGCTTGTCCTCTTCTTTATCAAATCAACTTTCTTAAAAGGTTACTCAGCTAAACTTTATATATTAGCAGGAGTTACATTAATCCCATTAATCTCTTATTCAATCAAGAATGAGAGAACAAGTCAAATCAATTTACATGTTTGGAAAAGGCTGACACCTATGCCAGTTTGGGTTTAAGTTAGAACTTGTTATTCTAATTCTCACTGCATCCCTTGATCCAAAGGAGAGACTGAAATCTGACATTTGCAAGTCAACTGCTAAGAACTTATCACAGACACAGATCAATAAAATCTCCAACAACAGAAAGTAAGAACAGAAACAAGAGAGGATTTTTGGTGCAGCATGAAACAGTGCTCCCTTTTATTCAGGCCAGATGCTAATTTTTATATCAAAAATATTGATTGAAGGGACTAGTGATTTTGGCTCTCACCCAAGTTTATTCAGGATCTTTCTTAATTAGGTTTGGGTCGGCTGCAGTGCCCATGGCCAAGGGTAGGTCTGGCTCCAATCACTACATCGAGCTCTCTACTTCATCACGGGCCAAGGACTAAGGCAAGGAAATTGCAGCTTCTTTGTTTCTCCTGCCTGAAAGTTTGTTTTTTTCCAGATTTGAAGCATGCATGGAGCAAATGTGTAAGGAAGACCAAAAGAAGTGTACTGGCTTCACTGTGATGAGATCAATCCACCCTACAACTTGACTGTGATCCCCTGCGTGAATAAAGCCCTGTGTGTGAAAAATGAATGGGTAGCAATGTGAGGTCATGGAAAAAGATCTTGGCATCTTTTAAATGAAAGCTTTTCAACAGACTGATGCAGTCAAATCCATCTATGAAGTATTTTAAGCAGGTAAAATCATCTCTTTTTCAACCATGCATGGTCTCTCCATAACGTGTCTATTTTGTAAATAATTGCAGTTGTCATGCAACTCTTTTTATAGTGTCCATACCAATTCCATATAATTTATACAAGTCTTTTAAAAAACTTCACACACATAAAACTTTAATAAATCATAGTCACAAATTATAGACACCTATAACAAAATGGGTTTTCCACTCTATATAAAATAGTGTGTTGATGTTAAAAATATATATAATTCAGTTCCCCTAAAACATTTCCAACCAAATAGCTATGAAGTTTGAGCTCTAAAAATTATTAAATAAAACTTTAAAGTATAAATCTGTAAGAGATTTTATTAACAAGACAAGCCCAACTGAAGTCCATCAAATGTTAAAGATTTCCTATATAGATGACTTTATAACTCCCATAGATAGTTAATTGTTCTAAGAATATTATACACACACATTAAAATATTTTATTAAAGTAGGTTCATATCTAGTAAGATGAAAATTCTTTTGAAATTTGCATTTTTTTTGCACATTTAGTATTTGTAATAGCCAAGTTGAAAGAAAACATGATAGCTTTTCATACTAATTGACCTGGCCCTCCACTGTGAATAAGAATAGAGGAACAGAGATTACCAGATATTTGAGGAAAACCAAATGGGTAGTCAAGATGAAAAAAGAGAAATTTTTCACTGACATAAACAGATAATTAGTGGAAAAGAAAACTTTTAAGTGTTTTAATTATGAACCTGTAGGTCAAACTGGTTCTACTGTATGAAGATATTATATCCAGAATATAAGAATTGGCAGCTGGGCACAGTGCCACATGCCTGTAATCTCATGCTCAGGAGGCCGAGACATGAGGTTTGAGGGTTCAAAGCCAGCCTCAGTAACAGCAATGTTCTAAGCAACCCAGTGAGACCCTGTCTCTAAATAAAATACAAGAAAGGGCTGGAGATGTGGTTCAGTGGTTAAGCACTCCTGAGCTCAATCACCAGTAACAAAAAAAAAAAAAAAAAAAAAATTGTCTGATACTAAAAGGAGCCCAGAATTTCCAGAATTTATGAATATTAAAAGTATTTAATATTCAAATGTTTGATGAAAATAAATCAGTAGAAAGCAAAGAAATATTTTCAAAATCTCCTTCAGAATATAAACCAAAGGTCAAATATATTTAAAATGTGAAAGAAAATATAAAACACAATGGATTCATACAAGATGATCAATATTCACTTAATAAAAAAAGTAGAGAGAAGGGCTGGGATTGTGGCCCAGTGGTAGAGCACTCGCCTATCACGGGTGGGGCTCGGGTTCGAACCTCAGCACCACATAAAAAATAAAGATATTGTGTTGTGTCCATCTACACCTAAAAATAAATAAATAAATAAATATTTAAAAAATACTTACATTTAAAAAAAAAGTTGAGAGAAATGGAAAAATATTGAATGCAAGGGGGAAAAAATCAACACATAATAAAAGAACTATTCCCCTGGGGTTGAAATGAAACAGAAGATGAAATGGACTAGTAAGTGCTCAGCTAATGAATATTAAAAGACTCTCACCTAAACACACCTTCTCAAATTTTATTACATCAAGGGTAAAGTGAAGAACTTAAAGTTTCCAGCTAGAAAAAAAAACTAAATCATCTCACCCAGAAGTAATTGATCTTATTACTAAATATTACAAATATGACCTTCAGAATGCCCATAACAATTTTTTCATCCATTAACATTGTGTAGATTATCCATTTCCTCACTCTGCACCAATGCTGGGTGTCACCATTTTTATAGTCTTTACCAATCTGGTAGAAAAAAAAATGAATTATCTTTAACATTTAATTCCATTTACTATTGATATGATTTTTTCATATGTATGTTAGTTTTTTGTCTGTCTTTTGCAATTTCTTTATTTGTAATCCCTGCCTCCTTCTCTATTGCAAATGTCTCATTAGCAAAACTGGTTGCTAGACAACAGTGAAGCAATGCCTTCAGAACCTAGAGGGAAAATAGTTTTCAATCTAAAATTCTACATCCAGAAAAATCCATCTAATGAAAGGAGACCAATTAGGGATATTTTTACATGAAAGTTTATGTCCTTGATCCCCTTTAAAAACTTACTTGAAAAAAATACTGCAATAAACACTTCTAAGCATGAGAAATCATGGTATCCAGGAGACTGGATTTATCTAGAAGCACAATGAACAATTCCAGAATGGCCATTTCAAGATAAAATGGCTACAATAAGAAATGATGAATTACTTTTTGCACCATATCAAAATCTAAGTCATCTCTAATTGTCCAGCGCTCTCTTCCTCATGGTGTTTCAAGGACCAGGTTGATTTCCAGCTAGTGATCCAACCATCCCCTTGGACTTTGTCATTACATGCAATCCCCATCTGGTGACTAACTTAACTCTTTGAACACACTTTGAGAGAGCTGGCTGACCCTGATTCCTCAATGTAAACAGAGTATATAGAGATTGGTAAGAAGCAGAATCACTGCAGAAAACATCCTGATAACCTCAGTTCTTAGAGTTTCAGCTCTCCTCTCCCAACACTGCTCCAATATCAATTTCATTTACTTACATCAGATTGAAAAAAAATCTTGAAACTTTCATCCATATTCTAGTCCTAGAACCCAGAGGCATAAACCCACTCCCAGACGGTCCGTAGGCTAGACCAGTCACTTCTCATCCCATCCCTGCTTCTCATTACCTATGGACACATAAACCTAATTCCTCAGGAATGATATGCTTATTTCTGTTCACAGCATGCAAGGTGGCTGTCAGATGTGAGTGCTCTCTAATAAAGCACCTTTGAAAAGGCTGGGCTGGGATGGAGGAGGGGGC